AAAAAAAAAAAAAAAAAAAGATTCTCCTATCTCGGCTTCCCAAAATGCTGGGATTATAGGTGTGAGCCGCCATGCCCAGCCCTGATTTTGTTTTTGGAATGAATGAATGCATTCATGCATGCCTGAATAAATAGCTGGATGGGCGGAGGAATAATTGAGTGCAAGGGTAGGTTTGTGAATGAACACGTGGATGGATGGATGAGGGTAAGGACACAGGTGGGAAAATTTGCTGGTGTAGAAAGGCCGCTTCGCTGATAAAACTCCCCTGCGATTAGAGCGTACTGCCCCCTGGCGGTGGAAGTGATGAAGGCCATTCTGTATCTGAATATTGTCTTTCTGCTCTCTCTCTTCCAGAAGTGAACCCTAAATATCTCCTACCCTATGTCCCTACTTTGTCTGAGACCACTCTTTCCTTTCAGAAGCCCCCAGGGTCCCCTGTGAATTGTTTGAGACTGTTAGTCTTCCTCTGTTGAGGGATAATGTCATTTCCAAAGGTAAAACTAGGGACCATTCAGCAAGTATTTATTGAGCACCTACTGTGTGTCAGACCTTTCCCAGGCATAGGGGACCATGGGGGGAGGGGACAAGAAAGCCTCAGCCTCTGCCCTTGTGGAATTGAGGGAACTGGAGGTCGAAGGACAAAACAAACAAGTAGGATAACGTTAGGTCAAGGTAACACAGGGTGATGGAGTCAGGAATGAGCCAGAGGGTTTTTCTAACTTAGTCCTTCTCATGGGAAGAGATTAAATCTGAGCTCAGGCTAACTGGGTGAGGAGGAGTGGGTCTGCAGAGAGGGGAAGGGCATTCAAAACTAGGGCTGGGACTTGAGTAAGGTGAGTCAGGCACTTGCTTCAGGCTCCAAAGGGATGCCCAAACCTCATTTATCAAGACAAAGCATATCTTGATGAACATGTAATGAAAACCCAATATTAAAGCAAAAATCCATAACGAACAAAATAGGACTGAGTGAACTGTGCAAGGGCAAAGTAGAAGCCTATTTTTTTATTTTTTGAATTAATTTTGATTTCCTTTTTTTTTTTGTTTTGTTTTTTTTTTTGTGTGTGGGAGACCGGATCTCTCTCACCCAGGCTGCAATACAGTGATGTGATTGTAGTTCACCATAGCCTTAAATTTCTGGGCTCAAGCCATCCTCCCACTTCAGCCTCCTAGGTAGCTGGGACTACAGGTGTGTGCCACCACACCTGGCTGATTTATTTTTTAGAGATGGGGTCTTGCTAAGTTGCCCAGGCTGGTCTCAAATTCCTGGCCTCAAACAATCTTCCCTCCTTGCTCTCCCAAAGCATTGGGATTACAGGCATGACCCATCACGCCCTGCCATGATTTCTTAGAATATCACATCAAAATGTTTTTATCTGGATGGCTGTCTGCTGCCGCTTTGATTCTGCACCTCAGGTGGCTGCCTCACTCGCATCTCCCTAGTCCTCAGACCTATTAAATCTAAGCAGAAGGGATGGCAAGTGCAAAGCTCTGAAACAAACATGACCTGATGTGCATGAGGAAAGAAAGACATCTATCAGAGAGGGGGAGGTGAAGTTGCATGATGGGCAGGGCTGAGATCATGGCTGGCAGCAGTCTCTACCTGGGCTGGGCTTTAAAATCATCTGAGAACTTTAATGTCATACTCATCCCTGGGTCAAGCTGCCTAAATTTGTCTCTTAATGGGGTCCAGGCATCAGTATTTTTTTTCCCACTTATTCCTGCATTGAGCACAGTCATCAGTATTTTTTTTTTTTTTGAGACAGAGCCTCAAGCTGTCACCCTGGGTAGAGTGCTATGGCATCACAGCTCACAGCAACCTCCAACTCCTGGGCTCAAGCAAATCTCTTGCCCCTGCCTCCCAAGTAGCTGGGACTACAGGTGCCCTCCACAACACCTGGCTATTTTTTGGTTCAGCCATCATTGTTGTTTGGAGGGCCCCAGGCTGGATATGAACCCGCCAGCTCAGGTGTATGTGGCTGGTGCCTTAGCCACTGGAGCCACAGGTGCCAAGCCAGTCATCAGTATTTTTAAAAAGCTCCTTAGCTGGCTCAGAGCTGGTGGGTTCTAACCCAGCCTGAGGATGCTAAACAACAATGACAACAACGAAAAAATAGCTGGGCATGGGGGGCGCCTGTGGCTCAGTTGGTAGGATGCCGGCCCCATATACTGAGGATGATGGGTTCAAACTCGGCCCTGGCCAAACTGCAACAAAAAAATAGTTGGGCATTGTGGTGGGGGCCTGTAGTCCCAGCTACTGGGAGGCTGAGGCAAGAGAATCACCTAAGCCCAGGAGTTAAGATTGCTGTGAGTTGGGATGCCACAGCACTCTACCAAGGGCGACATAGTGAGACTCTGTCTCAAAAAAACAAAAACAAAAACTCCTCAGCTGACTTCAATATGCAGCCAGAGCTGAGACCTACTTCCTGGTATAGAGCCTTAGACTTAGGAGCTGACTACTCTGATTCAGTTTACAAGGTCTGACAATTAAGTTCTTGAACTTATCCTGGAAAAAGTGCTCTCCCCTTAGGAAGCTATAAATTGAGGCCAGCGCCTATTCTACACTTCAGAGCAGTTTTGGAACTCTTTCTGGAATGACCATCAGTGTTGTCATCATAAGGCCCCCAATGCACAGCCAAGTCTCACCATGTTGAAATGAGTGCAGCAGTGAAACACTGACATACCAAGGTTAGGAAACCTCTTTGAGCTGTTTTTTTTTTTTTTTTTTAGAGACAGAGTCTCACTCTGTCACCTGAGGGCCGTGAAGAAACAGCTCACAGCAACCTCCCCCTTTAGGGCTTAGGCGATTCTCTTGCCTTAGCCTCCCGAGTAGCTGGGAGGACAGGCACCTGCCACAATGCCTGGCTATATTTTTGTTGCAGTTTGACTGGGGTGGGGTTCGAACTTGCCACCCTCGGTATATGGGGCCAGCACTCTACTCACTGAGCCACAGGCACCGCCCCTCTCACCAAGCTGTTTTTACAGTTCTGCCAGCATAAGCGCATGGTGGCAAGTTCTCAAACTTAATTGTAAACCTTGTACAACCACAGCTCTGATGGTCATTCCAGAAGAAGGGCTCTAAAATTGCTTTGAAAGGTGGATGAGGCACGGGCCTTAGTGCATAGCTTCCTAAGGGGGGTGCTTTGAAGATGACTGCAGTGATACTCAGCAATGAGGTATATAGCACTATTCCTAGGATGAGTTTGCACACTTAATTGTCAGATCTTATAGACCACCCCCCACCAATGTTTCTGGCTCCATTTCTGAATGTTGTCACCTCCCTTGAACAGCATTAACAAAGTATGCTTGGGTGGCACCTATGGCTGAAAAGAGTAGGGCGCCAGCCCCACATGCCAGAGGTGGCGGGTTCAAAGCCAGCCCCGGCCAAAAACTACAAAAAAAAAAAAAAAGAAATCTAACAAAGTATGCACCACCTCAGCAACCTCCTCTGAGTGCCAGAGTTATCTGTTGTGATTTGGAAAATTCCCGATGCTGGAGCTCCCCACCCCAGGGATTCTCATCCACTTGGCTCAGGGTTCAGCTTGGTCTTGACTTATAGAAACTCCAGGTGTGGCTGAAGCTGTGAACTACCCAGTTAGACAGAAGAGCACTTGGCAGCAATTGTGTGCCTGGCACTGTGCCAGGAAGTTCTACGTGGTCATGTTAATGAACCTGCCTTCGGAGAACTTCCCATGCACCATTCTACTAGTGGAAACATCTCATCCAACCATGGTTTATTTCATAATGAATATAAATATATAACATTATCACTAATAGTCCCAGGAAAGCATGTCTCACTTTCCATGTTTTGGCCTTGCCCATTTCCAATCACCAAGTCCTCTGAGTCCTCAGTTTTCCTCACTGTGAAAGAAATGTCTTGGAAGGTGAGGAGGGGAGCCCTCAGGTGTGTTCTGGCCCTGATATTCAGGGGATGTCTGACTTAGCCAGAAAAAGTCAGGCCAGATGAGGCAAGAACCCAAAGGAAGAGAAAAGATCACATCCCATGCCAGCACTGCCAGCTGGCTGCTGCCAGGGGCTCGTGTGGAGGGGCTGTGGGCCCTGATCAGGAGCTGTTTCTGTAACTGGTTTTTCTTGCAGACTCTTACCACAGCTTATGCTGTTTTCTGGCCCGGGAGACCGACTCTGTGCTGCTGATGATTGGGTAAGTTGCTGGAGACAGTTGGTGGCTTTTATATGGTTGGGAGAAGGAAGAGTGAGTGAGTTCCTGTATGATCTGTAGAACAGAGAGAGAGGCCTAACTCCCCAAGAAGCACTGTCGTGCACGCGCCCATAGAGACAGGTGCAGCACGGTTCAAAATGGAAAAAACCTGGAAACAATCCACATGCCCATCAACAGTGAAATGCGTGAATAAACTATGGTGGAATGATAGGTTATGTCGTCATGAAGATATTATATTACAAGAATGTTAGGTAGTCATTTAAATAAACAAGCTGAAAAGTTCAGGGCTCCATACGGCCAGTGAATCTTAGTAGTAAAAAATTAAGTGACTTGTTTTTTTCACTTTCTTTTTGTGAAGTTAAAAACAATTTGCATCAAAATATTACTCTTTAGGAGTGCACATAGACAATAAAACAATGTAAAAAGGAAAGGAAGAGCTAGGATGATAGGGGTGGCAGGCACCAGAGGGTGGGCTGAGGGTCATGGTCCAGGGCCGGGATGTTTGGGATGATGGTTCTGCTGGTGCTCATTGAATTGTTAAAACTAACTAACCAACTCTCTGGCTGGCAATTCATGCTCTAACCAACTACTGGCTAGATAGGGACCAATGTTAAGACTGTCTTAAGTTACATGTGTAACTCTGACCCTTTGAAAACAAAAAGGAGATGGAAGTGCCTTTTGAGTGGCTACAGGTGTCATTGGAGGAAGTTATCTATCTGTCACCCAAGAAGTAGATGAGAGATTGATAGTTTCATTTTTATTTATGGAAAAGTCAGCAATTTTGGAGAACAGCAGGAGTATTTTCCCAAAGAATCGTTCTTCCTTTTTCTTTCCTCTTGTTATTTATTTATTTTTTATTTTTTTTTGCAGTTTTTGGCTGGGGCTGGGTTTGAACCTGCCACCTCCGGTATATGGGGCCAGAGCCCCACTCCTTTGACCCACAGGCACCACCCTCCCTTTGTTATTTTTTATTTGTACAGGAAAAGTCAACATTGCTAATAATAACATAATAATAACATGTTATTATTAGCAATGTTATTTATACAGGAAAGATTATTAAAAAATTTTAAAAAAAGGATTGGCACCCATGGCTCAGTGAGTAGGGCACCAGCTACATACACCAAGGCTGGCCGGTTTGAGCCTGGCCTGGGCCTGCTAAACAACAATGACAACTCCAACCAAAAAATAGCCAGGTGTTGTGGTGGACACCTTGTAGTCTCAGCTACTTGGGAGGCTGAGGCAAGAGAATTGCTTAAGCCCAAGAGTTTGAGGTTGCTGTAAGCTGTGATGCCACATCACTCTACCCAGGGTGACAGAGAGACACTCTGTTGCCAAAAAATATATTATTTATTTTTTATTTGTATAGGAAAAGTCAACATTGCTAACATTAGCAATGTTATTATTTATAATAATATATATTAAACAGATTTTCTCTCATAGGTTATAAGGTTATACGATATCTTTTTATCTTAAAGTGTTTATATTTTCAAAGCATTTTTATTTTAGACTCAATTTATAGTTAATATTTCACTGGGTGTATGGAAGGTCTTGGGGTTTTGACCAATATCATGGAATTTAGTTTGCTAATTTATATATGTCCTTGGAAGGCCATAGAAGTAGGCCTTGGAAGTGAATAAAGAATTTATAGATGTCAGCATGTTGGCTCACCTGGCTTTGATAGGGCCTAACCAGCAGGGTCTTATATGAAATGGCTGTTTAGGTTAACAGTGGCTGGTAACACAGGGAGTAGCGGAGGCTACTCACTAGGATTCTGGTTTCTGGTCCAAGAAGGTTACAAATCACTGGAGAATAGTTTATGTTGTGACCAGCACAGCTGAGAAAGAGACTTGGACCCTACTTGACACATAATTAAGTAGAACTTTATTACACCTGCGCAGGGTGCAGAGGACTGCTGCTATAGAAAGCAGTTGGTGCCAAATGGAAAGCCAGGTGGGTTTTTATACTCATTTTTAGCATAGCTCAGCAAGCAGGCAAATACAGAAGCAAAACATCGCAGTTAGCTTAGGGTGGGGGTAACATTAGCTCAGGGGTCACATTGTGGGGTTACATAGTTCAGGGCAGAGGTACATAAGTTGAGAAAGTTTCTGAGAACTTGGGACTTTTTACTGGGGACCTTTCTTGGAATCCACTCCTCCCTTTATACTTCCCCAATTTCAGACTTCTTCTCAGAATCTAGCCTCCTCACTCTTGAGGGGGCTGGGACTAAAGGACTCAAGAGAAATTCTTTTTCAAGGGTTGGGGGGCTTATTTGCCACATTCCCCACTGGTCTTAGCAGGAAATCAGCGGGGCCTGGTTATCACATTCCCCACTGGTCTTAGCAGGGAATCAAATCTTTGATTCATTTGTGTTATAAAGGATGAATTGGTGCCATTAAATTAAGACAAGTCCCTTGAGGAGTTTTCTCAGGTTTCAGCCATGTGTTGACTACTCAGCTTCTAGTATGTGGCTAGGGCAGGGCATCCTTTAAATCCAGGCAGGTGGGTCATTTGGCTTCTGCTGGAAAACTTAGCAAAATACACAGATTAAGCACAGTAGGGTGCAGTGTTACAGTTACATTAAATTTTCATTTTAGGTCTTAAATTTTCCTGAGGTATCTATATAGACACAGTAGATAACATTTAATACTACACAAATTTTTCCAGGATAGCCAACAGGCAACTTTTATTGAGTTTTAAGGCTTCAGAGTAAATATAACTACTGTATACAGTTTTATATTCTTTGGCTAGTCTATTTATTCTATTTAACAGATCAATTTAGTAAAATAGTTATGTCTCATTTTATGAGTTGACAGTACAGACAAGGCTGGGATCTAATACAAGTGGGCCACAGCCTTTTTCTCTTTGAATTATTTTTATTTCTCTAATTTCTATCTTTACTAAAGATAAATTACAGCAGAACTAACTTAGTTGCTAAAATACTGTACCTTCAATATACTGATTATTTGCATAAAGCACACTAAGAATAATTATTAGCCATCTAGACCCCCCCCCCTTTTTTTTTAGAATTGGCTTTGCTGGAACCTTTTATAATGAATCTCAGGCTGGACTTTTTGGAAAGCCTTTCATGAGCCCAGGTTTCATTTGTGCCATTAGATACCCATATGCATTGGGTAAATTCTTCTTTTCTTGAGATCTCCAAGCACATTTCAATTCTTGGACCCATTAGCAAGTGACCTTTGTTACTTACCACAGATCAGGAAAGGTTACTGATGGGTATCTGTCTAGTTTTCCAAAGGGCTTTTTTTTTTCATTGGCCTTATAAAAATCAACCTTAATTCCTTAACGCAGTCTGGATACCTCTGGAAATGCTATTCCAGCCAAAGCCTTGGTAAAATACCCAGTACCTTCATTATGTCATATAGAACAAAACAGATTCTTATTGAACTTATGCAAATAACTGTATTGTCAGGAATTGAGAATACTTATAAATGGCTTTTAAGTTCTGGAGAAATCAAGGAGAGAGAAAAAAGATGTTTCAAACTCTGCTTATAAGTATATACATTGCTTGAAAAGTTACGAATAGCTCAAAAAACTGAAAATTATTTTCTTGACTTCTGGAAACCAGAACACAGACAGAACCAACAATATTTTGAACAAAAAGCCATAATAAATTAGCTCAGTTTTATGTAACTGATTTTTGTTGTGTATGAAGTTAGGTTAGCAATATTCATAGATATGTTAACTTTTCAATGACAGTTCTAAAAACCTGTTTTTAGTTTGAATTTTCAAAGACATCAGAATTTGACTTTGAGAGAATTCGTCAGCCTGTCTTAATATTTTTTCTTTTTAAGGTAAACTTTGGACTCAGCCAGTTACATAGATGAATTAAAATTATTACTGACAGTATATGTTAGGACAGATCCATGCTTTATAATATTGGAACAAATATCTAACTATAATTTATACAAAACTAATTACCATTTCATATTTGACTATGTTTCCTATATATTTTAATGAATTAAGTTTAATCTGTTTTTCTCAGGTTTTTAGTGGTTTTAATATTTTGAAAAGACCAAATTTAGAGTTGTTCTTTGTTGTTTAGTTGGCCCAGGCTGAGTTTGAATCCACCAGTCTTGGTGCATGTAGCCAGTGTTACAACCACAATACTACAGATGCTGAGCTCTAAATTTAGGGTTTTGACTTTGGAAGTTTTGTCAAATATCAAAGGCCTAAAACATTAGTTTAAATAAGATTACATGCTGAAAGAATTTAAAGGAAATACATAGTTACCTGGATCATGTATTTTACAAATTCTCTTTTATGAGCTTCATTTAACCTGCACAGACAATCTACAAACATTCTAAACTTTCTTTAACTTTTGCCCTGCCTTTCACCTTCTTACACAACCATTTTGTTTCAGGACAAAATTTATCACACAAGATTCTTTTTTATACAATGCCATTCTCCTTTCTGTCTGATTTCTCTTACTCTCAAAAATTTATTTCCCACAAAACAGGATTTCAGTTTATTATGAAGTCACCCATTCACTCAACCAAACTGATAATTAAAAGGTTTAAAAAGTAAGAATCTGGCTTGGTGCCTGGGGCTCAAGTGGCTAAGGAGCCAGCCACATACACCTAAGGTGGCGGGTTTGAATCCAGCCTGGGCCCGCCAAACAACAATGATGGCTGCAACCAAAAAAATAGCCAGGTGTTGTGGTGGGTGCCTGTGGTCCCAGCTGCTTGGGAGGCTGAGGCAGGAGACTCACTTGAGCCCAGGAGTTGGAGGTTGCTGTGGGCTGTGATGCCATGACACTCTATCCAGGGGAATAGCTTAACGCTCTGTCTCAAAAAAAAAAAAAAAAAGTAAGAATCTTATTCTTAGACAAAGACTCAGTTTTCCCAATAATTTAAATAATCACATTATTATATTTTATAAATGAGAGACATTTTATGAAATATAACATTGACACAGGATTTTCCCATTCAGGGCTAGACTGGGAACTCTCATTTTTTCAGGCT